ACGTCAGCTTGAGAAGGTACAGAAGAGGGCCTGCAGAATCATGCTCGGCGCAGACTACTCCGGCTACAACAACGCTCTCTCCACCCTGGAAATGCCATCCCTTAGTGACCTCCACCACCAAGCAAGGTTTGGCAGCGGACTACTGCACCATCCTCCTCATCGCCACCTACTGCCACCGGCAGTCCCCCGCCGACCTCGCACAGTCCGCTGCCCACCTCGCCAGTACAACAAAATTCAGCCCCTAAGAGCCCGCACTGATAGATATAAGAATAGCACCATCCCATCTATTGTTAAAATAATAAACAACTGATTTATGTACTGTACAGCCCTGTAAAAGTATTGAACGCATATATATATATATATATATATATATATATATATATATATATATATATATATATATATATATATATATATATATATATATATATATGTGTGTGTGTGTGTGTGTGTGTGTGTGTGTGTGTGTACTGTAGACTGCTGTTTTCGTTTTCGGTGTTTTTGTTACGCACAATCCAGGTGATATTGGCATGGGCACGATCTTCGAATCTCCGCTGGAATACAACAGGAACTAAGCAGTTCACGTTAAGTTCGTTAGGCCATGTTTGGTTTTCTTTGCTATATAAAACTGTTTAGGTCCTGTTAGGTTGCTTAGGTCATGTCAGTTTAGTTATGTTGGGTTGGTTAGGTCATGTTAGTTTGGTCATGTTAGGTTAGTTTGGTTATGTTAGGTTAGGTTGGTTAGGTCATGTTAGTTTGGTTATATTAGGTTGGTTAAATCATGTTAATTTGGTTATGTTAAATTGGTTAAGTCATGTTATTAGGTTAGGTTAAGTTTATGTTAGATATTATTATTTGGTGTCAATTTTGGTAAGAATTTTAAGATGACGTGTAACAACTTCACTCGACTACTGCAGGTTGTTACCTCAGTCATTACCTTAACGAGACACTGAGACGGCTGTCAATTAAGGGCCATTATATCTTACCGAACATTTCTTAGTAAATATTAAAGTTCACGTTTTTAGTCGAGAATAAACTCTTGAACTGGATTATTTGTTTTATTCAAGATTTTCACCAAGTCTTCGGAGTCATTCCAGATATTGACCTATTTTCTATATATCCGCAGTTAAATAGCTCCCTAGATAAACTTAAGTAAAGCACTCATGGAATTATGATGATGACTTGTACATTTTGAACCAGGGGTCATTATAGTATCGTAGCCGAAAGAAAAAAAATCGTACAAGCAGCAATGTACTGAGAGAGGGTCCACACTGGTGGCGTAAGGTGATAAAACACATAAGTTGTGTTGATATAATCTCCGACAAAGTTATGAGAAAAGTTATCAGACTGACAAACGCAATCACGGCAAGAGTATGTGCCCACACCCGGAAGCATTTCCTAGAGCGGAGGAAACTATAGCTTGGAGAACATAATGTTGATGTCACAATGTATTACTACGCTTCAACCACTAGATATCTTAAGGGAGGTATTTTAGATTAACAAATAAACTATAATCTACTCATTTGAGCCTTGTAACCTGGGCATAAGAGTTGATTTTATCAATGGAGCGGATTAGCGGAATGAAGAGGGTTAGGTTAGTCTAGAGCTCTTCTTTATTTAATTTCTTTATATTCTGCAATTGCAAGTATTATTAACAAGTAACTGTTGATCTAAAATGACACCCGAAGCTGAGAAGTAAATATTAGCATGATAAAAATAAATGATAACGTTGTCGAAAATTTCCACTATTTATTTCGAACTTAAATTTAGTAATGTAGGCTTACCACCTCACCACATTCCTACGGCACCACCTTTCTCCTACAGACCGCTAGATACTTAACTGAGTTCCACAGAAAGGGGTTATGGATCCTTAATGAAGTTCGGTTGAAGGTTAAGCCAGTGTTCCGCTGTAGCTACGTTGATTCTTCTCAGTTTTAATGTAATAACAACACTAAGTAGTCCGTTTTTCTTAATTGATTCTTCTCAGTTTTAACGTAATAACAACACTAAGTTGTCCGTGTTTCTTGATGCACTAATCGCAGTGGTGGTGTAAGCAGCTCTGGCTAACCCGAGGAACAACAAATGAGTCAGCTAACTGCCCAAAAGCCCGTCAAGAATGACGTCACTACGGTGACTACGTGTCACATTGTCACTCTTTAAGTTTATACTTTGCTTTGACCGACTCAGTGTTGTTTCATAATATCAATAATTATAAAAATCAATTATGTATTATATCAGTTTTCTTATATAAACTAATTCACCAGGATTAAAGTGATTTACTAGAACTAGTTGACTCGTCCCAACCGGTGAACTCATCCGGAGGCCACACACGCTCATGATACCAATTAATTGTAATAGTAAAAAGCCAACACCATAATTTATATGCTTATATTAGCGAATTATATATTTTTTAAATATACACAACAACCCACAACATATCCCTGACAACATTCAACAATTCCTTAAGACAGAAGCCCACCATCCACGTATACGAAGGTGCCACAACGCTCCTGGTCAAGGCAATATTTACAAATTAATAATCTTACGTGGAAATATACGAAATAACATCCACAAATGTAGATATTTTAAAGTGAAAAAAAAGGATCAGCTACGCCAAACTATATCACCCATCCCTCCCCCTACACGTATACAGTAGTCACCCGGAATAACTCAACCAATAACGAGCTCACTTTGGTTTGTCCCTGTTGCAAGTTTAGAGGAAATATTTATTTTTTTATAGCCACCAACAATTACACTTCAGCGACACTATAAAACATCGAAGAGTTACATATGTATTAATGTTTTGACAGACAGTGGTGTTCGTGTAGATAACTTCAGCTCAATATAAATTCACGTATAGGGTCACTAATTAAAAAATAAATAGATGTACACAAACACGGAGACTTCAGACCTGAGAGTGTTGGTGTGTTGGGCTGGTCCCGTCTTGCCTCCACCTAATAATAAGGGTCTCAGGGTAAGTAATAATGCAATATGCAACAATAATGGTTGGTCCTCATGGTCTCGGATGGCCGACCCTAAGGCCAAATAGGCGTAATTTTATTTAAGGTGTACACGCTGTCGCCAACACAACAACCACAGCCTGAGATAACGAGCTATATGAACCAGTGTCAAAGAATAACCCAAGTAGACCGGAGAACTTGTAAACTGCACTGCCTAACCATTACCCAGGGATAGGATTCGTTAATTGTTTAAAATCCAGATTCCCAATTACCGTGCTATTGAGTAGATAGTCAAACCAATGATAAAACTAACTTTCCGATGTTCAAACGAAATTAAGTATTCATGGGGTTTGGGGAATCTTTTATCCACAGTCATCACCCAATTTTTCATTTTTTTTTTTGAAACTTTTTTTTATTCCCAGCCGAGTCATCTGGTTATGCAGAATATCAGTGAAATCAGTGACTCATTGCCTAGCTTAAACGGACATCTTGAACCAAGTGAGGCCAGCGGCATTTTCACATTACTACAATTTATCGTAAATCCTTTCTTTTTTCACAGCCTGTTTTACAATTTACAAGTACAATATCACTCAAATTCAATGTTCATCTTAATCATGAGTCCAATGTATCGATTCTTTAGAAATATATAAAACCGCGTGAAGATTATTAGCCCCTTGACTTAGTCACCTTAAGATTTAACTTTACCTCGCTTGTATCATTAAGGTCCTAATACAATAAGTAAAATAAACCGAAGATATAATTTATAAAGCCTTCTGTAAGTATAAATACGTAATTACTTACCTAATAGTTAAAATTTTACCACATTGTTACACTTCATAATTTTTGTGTAATACTTTATCTTATTCTATTGATGACCTAAAGTTTTCAATATATTTATCTCTAAATATGTGTGAAAAAAATATTTAACCGTATCAATTGGTATTTATCAACAAAGTAATAAATATTGAAATTATTCCAACTGCATAATGAATCCGTCTTTCAAAGCCTAATTGAACTCAACAAATGGAAAGTTTTATTTCATCATATTTACACTAGTTTATTTTTGGTAAACGGCAGGAAGTGTTTCAGCTCGTTTAACATCACTGTTATGAAAGTATGATTTAGTGTTATTCTTCCCAGCTTTAAGTCGGCTTTCCTTGAGTTAATTGTCATGTTGGTGTTGATGTCTTCATTTTTTGAGGCCATTTATGTAAGAGAGATTGAGGCACAGTCTTTTAAATCCCATGTTTATTTCCTGCTCCCTTTACAGTGAGTCTCCATATAAAAAATCAACATTTAAAGTAAATAATTAGAGTTGTTGCTGTAATAATATAAATTATTCCTTTATACAATTATTAATACAGTAATATATAACACTGTCCCTACTTTTAAAACCAACAATGTCAGAAACTTAATCAAATGGAAACATATCCTAAAAAAATATAAACTAAACGATCATCTAATACGGAATGTTAACAAAATAAAGCACAGCACTATAGGAAACTACAGTAATTGTAGTAAGTTACAATATAGTACTGTATATTATATATCGTAGACACTAAAATAAAAATAAAATATTCAGGTTGTATCGTCATTTAGGTATCTAGGAGGGTTTCTTTGCCGTTCTGGATATCTCCTGGAAGCAACTAGTCGCTCATTGGGAGAAGGTACAGTTTTATTAGAAGAACTTTTGATTTGCCCCAAAACCTCTGAAACTGTAGGAACTTGCATTTTCATTTTCACTTATTTGAGGTCCTGCTTCATTCATTAGAGGATACACACCTGGAAACACATTAGGAATAGGATTTGAATATGAATTATTGGTTTCATTATTTGAATTTTCATCTTCCAGTACTAAAGCCTCCTTGGGGACTATTTCCTCATTTACTCTTTGAGGACACTTCAGCAATTGGTCTCTGTGTCTTTTCCCTACAGAGCCATCATGAACTTTCACTAAGTAATGTCTTTATCCAAGCACTTTCTCCACTTTATCTTGCACCCATTTTTTTTCTATAATTTCTCACTAGCATGGAATCGGAATCACCCAATTTCAACACACGCCATGGACTCTTGTTCTACTTCCACTTTCTTCGTAAAAGATGGAAATATTAAATCCAAACGAATGCGCAGTTTCCTTCTCATCAGCAACACAGAAGGGGCGATTCCTGTTGTAGAATGTGGAGTGATGTGATAGGAAGGCAGGTATCTTTGTAGGACAGTCTCAGCATCTTGCTTTAGTACTTCAGCTTGACGTAAAGCTGACTTAAGTACTTGAATTACTCTTTCTGCTTGACCATTCGTAGAAGGTTTATATGCTGAGGATGTACGATGCATAATACCGGTTGTTAAGCAGAAATCCGCCAACTCTTTTGAAGTGAATTGCGGGCCATTATCTGTGACTAGAATCTCAGGTAATCCGTGTCTACTGAAAACCTCACGGAGATCCTTTACCGTAGCCTCGGCCGTAGTACTCTTCATTTGAACTACTTCAGGATACTTACTGTAAGCATCGACAAGTACAAAGTACATCTTTCCCGAGACTGGACCTGCAAAATCAGCAAGAACTCTTGACCAAGGTTTGGATGGAAAAATCCACGGATGAATTTGTGCAGTAGGTGGATCTGCCCTCATGGATTGATATACTTGACATGAAGAAACAACTCCTTCAATTTGCTTGTCCAGATTGGGCCACCATACTAATAGGACCTTGCCACTGCCTTCATTTTTCTCATACCTAGGTGTGTCTCATGTAGATCTCGAAATATGTCCCCTTTGCAGTGCAGTGGGGATAATGACACGAAGTCCTCATAGAGCACACACCCTTGCTCAATGCTGATTTCATTTCGACGCTGTAGGAAAGGTTGTAAACTTGGATCACACTCTTCAGTACTTGGCCATCCACACTGAGCATGTTTCAGAACTTTGGATAATATTGGGTCTACTGCAGTTTTCTTCTTGATCATTTGATGTGTTACAGTTGTGAAGATGTCTGTTTCAAAGAAGTAGCAATTTACAACCTCACTGCCACAGTTCACTTTTGTAGCCAGAGGGACTCTTGACATGCTATCTGCATCAACATGAGCAGCCGTGTTACTGTATTCTATCTTGTAGTTGTGTGAAGCCAACTTAAGTGCCCATCTTTACAGTCTGGCAGATGCATGCGGCGGAACAGGTTTCTCTGGGCTGAACAAGGAAACCAATGGGCGGTTATCTGTAATCAACGTGAACTGTCGGCCGAAAAGGAACTGTCTGAATTTCTGAACACCATATACAATGCTTAAGGCTTCTTTATCTAACTGAGAATAGTTTTTCTGAGCACCTGTTAATGTACATGAGGCAAAACCAACTGGTCGGTAACACCCATCAATAACGTGTGACAATACAGCACCATATGAAGAAGCATCACATGAAAGAAGCAATGGTAAAGAGTCATCATAGTGTACAAGAGTCATCATAGTGTAGCAGTAACATTTTTGCCTTAGAGAAAGCTTCATCCTCTACTTTGGTCCAAACCCACTGAACACCCTTCTTTAGCAATCTATTCAGGGGAGCAAGTACAGTGGAGTGATTCTTCAGAAATCTGGAATAAAACATTATCAGGCCTAGGAAGGATTTTAAGGCTGTTGCATCTTTAGGGGGTGGAGCTTGACTTATGGCAAGGAGTTTATCTTGTGTGGGATGAAGGCCCTCACCATCTATTCTATGACCAAGATATGAGACAGAATTTTGCAGAACTTTACACAATGCATCTAGGTGATCCTTCTTGTCTTTCCCTGCAATGAGGATATCATCTAAGTAACATATAACCTTTGGAATGTCAGAAAGCATATTATCCATTATTCTCTGAAAAATAGCCAGAGTGAATACCAAAAGGCAATCTCTTAAACACAAAAAGTCCAATGTGAGTATTGATAGTGAGATACTTACTAGATTCAATCGCAATAGGAATTTGGTGGTATGCTTATGACATGTCCAGCACACTAAACCCAGAACAATTTCTCAAAACTGAATGTAAATCTTCAACCTTTGGAATAGGATACATTACTACATCAGCACATTTGTTGAAAGTCACACTACATCACCACACACTCTGACTTTTTCTGAATCTCTTTTCATTCACAGACTCATTGGGAGCAGCACCAAATGGAGCACATGAAACTCTCTCAATTGTTCCATCACTTTCCATTTTCAGTAACTCATTTTGTACTCTGGACTGAAAGGCATACGGAACCGGTCTAGCTTTGTGAAATTTTGATTTTTCTGAAACAGTGAGTTTAACTTCTGGACCTTTATAACATCCTATCTCATCTTTAAACAATTCACTGTAGTTTTCTAGGATAGTGGAAACACCTGGAAATTTTTAGAGGCATGAAGATGATTTACAAAAAACACATCTTTCCAATCAGGTACCAGTGTGAACAACCAGTTCCTTCCTAGCGAAGCACATGAACCTTTTGGAGCAATCACTAGTGGAGGTTTAAACTGCTTCCCTTTGTAATCAATTTCCACTTCTATTTCACCTAATGGTTTAAGGTTTTCACCAGTATAAGTGAGGAGACGTACCTTGGATGGCTTGAATTGTATCTAGAAAAATATTTCTCATGCAAGTCCTTAGGGGTAATAGAAATGGCACAACCTGTATCTAACTGCATGGTAACATTATTCTTTTCAAGCCTCAAAGAAACATTAATGGGAGCATTTGCAGTAGTACTGCTATGTACAGAATTCACAGTATGTATTTGCTCTTGAAGTTGCAGAACATTTTGTACTTCATTGTCTTCAACCCTTACGGTGTGAATATTCTTCCTGTTACATGTTGCAGCGATGTGTCTTTTGGTGTTGCACTTGTTACAGACATAGTCGCGGAACCGGCAATTTCCTCTCTGGTACCCGGGTTTTGCGAAAGAGAAGCACTTGTATGTGTAGAAGGCTTGACCTGAAGAATTTCCTTCCCTAGCAGTGGAGTGGTTATACAGTACTGCTCGGGCATGGCCCTTGCCTTGCGCACTGACTGTGGTGACTTTCTTGAACACTGGACTTGATGCACCAAAACTTCTTCATCACTATCTGCAACTTGAACTTGGTGAGCAGGCGCATTTTGATTCCGGAACTGCTGCGTCTCAATGGCAGCAACCTCATGTGCTTGGGCTATTTGCAGACATTCTTCAAAAGATCTTTCGGCGGTAATCAGCTTCTTTTGGGTCTAAGCACTGTGGATCCCACTTACAAACTGATCCCTCAATGCTCTGGTGAGGAACTGGCCAAAATCACATGTCGCAGCCACGTGTCTCAGCCTAGCACTGTAGTCTGCAATGGACTTTTGGGCTTGTAGTGGTATGTCAGTAACTTAATTAGTTCATCAAAAGTCTGTTTCTTGGGTAACTTTGGACTGCATAAATCTTGTAGTAATTTGTAGGTACTCTTATCCAGGACAGTTATCAGAACAGCAACTTTTCTTTTACTAGCAGCCTAAATTGTGGCATCATTGGCATCAGCAGGATAAGTACAAATCTCATTTGAACAAAAATATTGCTCTAATCTCTCATTGTAACTAGTAAAACCCTCTGTGGAAGGAACAAAAGAATGAATATGGCCAAGCAAGCCCTGAACTGCCATTTTGGGGTAGCACAAATGTTTTGAATCAGGCTGATTCCTCTAACCCACCATTCTCTTCCTTATACTTTAATTTACTCTTCTAAAGTGACTCTGGTAATACTGTAAGCCTTACTGTACAAAGCAATCCCATCCTCGTCGCCAAATTATGTGGCGTCTTCATTTTTTGAGGCTATTTATGTAAGAGAGATTGAGGCACAGTCTTCTAAATCCCATGTTTATTTCCTGCTCCCTTTACAGTGAGTCTCCATATAAATCCACCTCACTCCGGTGAGTCTACATATAAGCAATCAACATTTAAAGTAAATAAATACAGTAATATTTTACACTGGTGTCGATATCTGATACTGCGCCTCAGCCACTGGGTTACATCAAACACTAGACATCAACAATGAAAAATTAAGACTAATCTCTGGTTATTAGTATAGTTTATACCCACGACGGTGAGGTGAGTGACGAATACTTAACTATGTATTTACCTTAATTCTTACCTTTTCATGAATAGTGTATTTACTAAACTATCATACGCGCTTCAGGGCCTTAGTGGTTCAAGTGTGTTAATTCATTATAATATCAGTAAGGCAAAGGAATAAAATTCAACTGACGAATACAAATTTTAGTAGACAAATTCTTGACACAATAAATATGCTGTACGTTATTATTAGGATTTTCAGCAATTATTAAAACAGTTTATATTCGATTCAATAAAAGCTTCGTCATATACAATCAATCGCAATGTAAACTAATATTACGTTGGTGTATGTAATTATAACTCTTCGGAAATTGTGTACAATATTGTCAGCTTTCCATAAGTTAACCAATGCACTTTCCTATAATCTTCACTCGTAGGGTTGCTGGTGTGTGCTTGCTCGCCTCTTTCGCCTTTGCCTCAAAACCCAAACTTTTCCTTCTTCTTGGAAGCATGACTTGGTTCAGCCCATCCCGAAGAAGGGTGACCATTCTAATCCCTCTAACTATCGCCCCATTGCCCTAACCTCATTCCTCTCTAAGATTTTCGAAATTATCTTAAACTCTTATTTTCTCCGTCACCTTGAACGCCTTTCTCTTTTGTCGGGTAACCAGAACGACTTTCGCCAGACGAGATCTACTGGTGATCTGCTCTCCTACTACACCCATCTTTGTTCATCCTCTCTTAGGGATTATGGGGAAACTTTCGTCGTGGCCCTCGACATCTCCAAAGTCTTTGCTTTCTAAACTTCCCTCTTATGGTCTCTCTCCCCCAATTTGTTCTCTAGTTTATAGCTTCCTTGAGAACCGATCCATGGCAGTTGTTGTTGAGGGATCGATCTCACGCTCTTCTTCTACCAATAGAGGTGTCCCACAGGGTTCTGTTTTTTCACATTCTCTCTTTCTTCTTTTTATCAATGATTTACTTCACACTACAACTAATTTTATCCATTCTTATGCTGATGATTCTACTCTTTACTCTTTTCCCTTACCCCCCCCCTAATTCTCAAACTAGATCTGTTTCTAGAGCTGATATCATTTCATCTTTCAATGCGCATCTTTGCAGCATCTCCGCATGGGGAGGGAGAAACTTGTTTAAATTCAATAGTAATAAAAACAGTATTTACCAATTGCACTTTCTAAATTAGATGATCTCCCACCAATCACATTTCAGGACGCATTCATTCTGCCAAGTTCTAAAATAAATATGTTAGGTCTCACTGTTTCCTCTAATATATCATTGAAGCCACACATCCACAACACTGCTAAAGCTGCCTTCTGAAAGCTAGGAATGTTGTACAGGTGCCGTAGCTACTCCATTCCTTGAGCAGTTGCTTTAAGTTTAGAAGGGATTTCATTCGTCTTAACTTAGAGTACTGCTCTCATATCTGGGCTCTTCTTCTGCCCAACTGTTAGATAGGGTGGCATCAAAGGCATTTCGTCTTATTGACTCGCCTCCTTTAGTTGATAATTACAATCTTTCTTCCCTTTCTATTCACCGCAATGTTGCTTCACTCTCTTTTTTACAGGTACTTTAATGGGTAATGTTC